CACTTAAAAGTCATTGGAAAATCATAGAAATTCATAATGGCTGGTTAGCATGGGTGAGACACATTCTGGGGGCCATAAAAACATCTTAATTGATAGCCAAAGCATTCATGATAACATAAACATATTTGCAAGAAACTCATACAAGAAAAATATTTTCTATATTGTGGTGCCATCAATTAATCAACATTATCATTATGCCATTTTCCTGCTTCAGAGCGATTAGCCACATGGCATTTATGCTTAGGTGATTGGCGTGTACACTACAGCTTCATGCCTATGAGAAAAAAAATTCTAATTCAAGTTTACTTCCATCAAGAGACGAATGGAAATGCTATTGGATAGCGTTCACTCGACTGAGTAGGTATGTGAGGTCATTTGGAGATAGTTAGACTAGCTTTCTCTGTATGCAAACATCACTCTCCCTTGTGTATTCACACAAGAAAGGTATTCACGATAAACCACAGAGGCAGAGAACAGAGCTTGCATAACCTTACATAGCAACAGGGAGCTTTTCACCGGTACCGTTGAACTGCTCACACATATTCATCCTACAGAGGATACACAGCCTTGAAACACTGGAGCCTTTAAATGAAATCTAATACTATTCCCATATCAGGTCATGCCTCTGTACTGCTTTTCCACCTCTCCTTTGCACACATACCACAGAAAGCAATTACTCTTTGTCAACTATCTAATCTATTGTTATGATGTTGGTGGAGAATCGAATGAATTCGGCTCTCAAGACCCAAAGGTAAACAGCACACTTCCCTTTTGCACCGGCACGGAGTGTTCTCATGCCTATTTAGGCTTAGTTGATACAATGATGAATGGATGGCTATAGAGATGACTAGATGGAGAGTGAGAAAAACAAATAATGAGTGAAATTTGACAAATGTGCACATATTCTTTTCAGCACTATGTTCAAACAAAGACATTTATGGTAAAGCAACACCTCCGGGCAGCTATTCTGCAGGTAATATATTTGAATTCAGCAATCAAATCTGATAACAATGGTATCATAAATTGATTCATGAAATCAGTGATAATAGGTCTCCCATTAGTTTTTCTACAAGTGGTCCATCTCCACCCTTTTATAATGTCTCTGATTTAGACTACATTTATCCACCCCTGTGCATAATGCTGCACCTGCCTGCAATTTCAGCATGTTTTGCATGCTTTGCTCTGCTGGGAAATGCGCCTGTTAAGTCATGGCAAAAAATAAGATTTATAAAATACATTCAGCAGAAAATCAGCTGCTGTAATGATAACACTAAGCTACAAAGTTCTTAAGTGGGACAACAAAACTGTTTATCTAAATAATTCCAAACTGACATGGGAAATCTGCAGATAAACACACAGAACCTAAAAGATTGGATTCATGTGAACTACTATGAAAACATGCAAGTTGTTGTACCTTAAAATGACCCTTCAGTGGTGTAACCTAATGTAGTCACCTCAAATTAAACAATGTTTTACTGTTCAAAAGCTTGAAATCAATATTTATTTAAAGAAATCATTACTTTTATTCAGCAATGATGGATTAAATTGATCAAAATCACAGTTACGTTGTTACAAAAACATTCTATTTCAAATAAATGTTGTTCTTTAGATCTTAAAAAAAAATATTTAAAAAAAAAAGCATCACAGTTTCCACAAAAATATTTGGCAGCACAATGCACAACTGTTTTCAACACTGATAATAATAAGAAATTAAGAAAATTAAATTGATTTCTGAAGGATCATGTGACACTGAAGACTGGTGTGACGGCTGCTGAAAATTCAGCTTTGCCTTTCTTTATAAAAACAGAAAAAGAGAAAACACTTATTTTAAATTGTGGTCCCACTTTATATTAAGTGTCCCTAATACCTAGTGTACATAGTAACTAGATGTGTACGTAGTATGTAACCACAGTGTAAGTACACATTAGTACATCATATCTACAGCTGTAATGTTTGTGTAACTACACATACGTAACAACCCACTGAATGGTATGTGCAAATACAAATGTGTAACAGGACATTGGTAACAACACTTTTTGGTAATTAAAGTACAAATGTGTAACAGATCTAACAGCACTTTTTGTTAAAGAAAGTGTTACACTTTATATTAAGTAAACAATTGGATTTACCATGTAATTACTCTGATGTTACACAGCAGTGGCCAGCTTTACCAAAAAGTGCTGTTAGTCCTGTTACACATTTGTACTTTAATTACCAAAAAGTGTTTTTACCAATGTCCTGTTACACATTTGTACTTACACAAACTATTTGGAGGGTTGTTACATGTGTGTAGTTACATAAATATTACAGCTCTGGATACTATGTACCAATGTGTACTTACACTGTGGTTACATACTACGTACACATCTAGTTACTATGTAAGTACACAGGTATTAGGGCCACAATATAAAGTGGGACCATAATGGTAATAATATTTTTTAATTAAATAAATGCAGTCTTGTTGAGCATAAGAGACTTTATTAAAAAAATAACTCAAATATATTATTATAATATTTAATTATTTAATTATTTTTTATAAAAAAATATAATTTATTTTATATTTTTTATTATAGGAATAAAAATGAATACAATTAAAACATTTAATTGTGCCATGTTGCTAGATGAAACACATTCAGGTTAAGTTTTTTTTTTTTTCATTGTAATGATGTAATATTTTCATACTGTAAACAATCCCCATCAAATAGATTTCGCTAATATTTGTATTGTAAGCTTGCATTGAGGTACGATCTCTGATATAATGGAATAGGACAAGAACAGTGCACAACTAGACAATAAGGGATGCATCTTCATCTCATAAACAATCTATAACAACATCTTGTTAACAGTATTGAGGGAGTAGAGCCAATAAGCTCTGAACGCTCTGCTCACATGGGGGATGGTACTGTATGCATGACTGCTCAAAAGGAGGTCAATCAATCGGTTTGACTCTGCACAATTCACTTTGCATCTGCTTGATCAGTGCAGACATAAAGAATATTCCATAACCACAGGGCACATGAGCCATACTACCAAAACAGAATGAATCTGTAAAAGCACTGGTAACTACTGTATAACTACTCAAGAGTGGCTGCAAGGGACATCAATGTTTCTTGCAATTCAGCTTTAGATCAGATGCAACAGATCAATTGGTGACATTGCATTTCGCATAACCAGAGGGAACGACACATTGTGCGTTCATCACAGTGAATGTGCTCAGCTAACTGTGAGTTGAGTCAGACTGCTACATCCTGGTATTGAATGACTCCTCTGTTCAGGCCCAAAATGATTTCCAACCAGCCTTATTGCAGTGCTTTCAAATGTATGGATAGTTTGACAGTGTAAAAAAATTGAATATATGAAATCATAATATATTCATGAAAAAAATGCATCAGTGAGAATATTGGAAACACTCTCATGCATCAAAATCCAGCTTGACTACAAATCAGAAATTACATTCCAGCCGAAAAAGTAATGTTTAGTGAATATCAAAACTAAAAAAAAAAAAAAGATGCAAACTGGATTGTGTTTGCTTTAGAGCATAAGACGAGCTGCATCACATTGAGGTGTTTAGCCAAAGCTGATCAAGTCATATATATTCAGCTCATGCCAACATGACACCACAATGCTGCATCCTCACCTTCCTCCCGTGTCCGCCCGCGCCGCATTACTTCTGGCTGTTACACCAGCGAGGAGTAATGTCAGTACACAAGGACAGTTTTCTCTCATTCATGGGCCTGACAGCACTACCAGCTAATGCACATCCCATCCACTGCTACTGGACTCTACTTTTCTCAAATTGTACTGTATATATGAATAGTGATGTACTTTGCACACTCTGTGACAGAGGAAAGACTGGGGCTAGTTGTCATGTGGGGATGTTATGGTAACTTAGTAACTCCACAAATGTGTTTTCTCTAGCAGTGGATATTAAAACCTTCTTGCATTAGAATAATTGTACAATCGCAGTATCATCATATTTGTATGATTTCAAATAGTTTCTAAATAGTATATAGCTATATTGGTAACACTTTACAATAAGGTTCCATTAGTTAATGTATTAACTGACATGAACAAACAATGAACAATACATTTATTACAGTATTTATTAATCTTTGTTAATGCTAGTTAATGAAAATGCAGTCGTTCATTGTTAGTTCATGTTAATTCACAATGCATTAACTAATGTTAACAAGCACAACTTTTGATTTTAATAATGCATTAGTAAATGTTGAAATTAACATTAACCAAGATTAATAAATGCTGTAGAAGTATTGTTCATGCTTAGTTCATGTTAACTAAAGTAGTTAACTAATCTTAACTAATGAACCTTATTGTAAAGTGTTACCATTATATTTGTGTGTATATACACTGCCATCAAAAAATTGTGTTTGTATGCTTTTTATGTTGAACAAGGCTTGTAAAAACAGCAAAAGTGTGACATATTTTTGCCGTTTTAAATTACTTTTCTTTTAAAATATGTTTTAAAATTTAATTTCTGTGAGGCCAGCAGTCATTACTCCAGTCTCCAGTGTCACATGATCCTTCAGAAAATTATTCTATGCTGATTTGGTGTGCAAGAAATATTACTTATCGTTATCAATGTTGAAAACAGATGTGCTGCATAATAATATTTTTGTGGAAACCGATACATTTTTGTTCAGGATTCATTTGAAATAGATATATTTCATTACATTATAATTTTATAATTACAACATTATAATTTTAATTTAAATGTTTTACTTGTAATTCTCTGTAAATGTGTATCGCTTCATCGTTTCCCCCCAGGGGAATAAAGGTGGAAATGTTCAGTAGCTTTGTTTTAGCCAAGACTTTGGTGTCTATATAGAAAATGTCCATAAAATAAATCTACTCTGAGAAATATTAACTAAAGTTAAATGTATCACTACTAGCCTCAATCTCCCCTAATGCCTTCCTGGGATCAATCATGTGTATCTACCTGACTATTTATCCATGGATCCGTAATCCCACAGAGCCCTTACCTTCAGTCTGGCCTTTGTTGATGCTCCAGTAACTCTGCAGACACTGCATTTCTTTCTTCATTCCCCTCTTGCAGCGGCAGTCGAACAGAGCCATCTCCTTCAACACTTCCTGGGCTACCTGGCAATCCTTATTGGTCAACATGGTGTTCCTGTCCTTGCCTGCCAGACACTGCCTCATGATCCTGAAGCGATGGCTGCACTTTTGGTCCTGGTTACAATTCTCGGTGGCTCTTAAACAGTCCATTGAGTCTTGGTGCCCAGACTCAGAGAGAGAGGAAGAGCCCGACATGGAGAACACAAGCTCATCTATGAAGGAGGGTGGAGAGGATGGAGGTTGAGATTATTCATTCATTCATATGGGCTGAGAAATGCCCTGCTAAAACTACTCTTTAATGGGATAACAGGAAAAAAATTTAACAAGTCTTTATCTATGACAAATGAATCTATAAAGACATCAGTGACTGCATCCGCTCATTTTGTCGTTATAAAATATTATTTTAGTCAATGACTAATCCAGCCAAAGAGTGCAATTTAAAGTCCATCAAGCCAGTAGCAATGACCAGATGATTGTGAAACCATTTTAATGACTCACAAGGATCACTTGACAGCTCAGAATGGTGTCAAAGTATGAAAAACATGCCTCGAAGAGTAAAATATATACATCACACAAAAGACTTCTAATTAGCATGACATGAGTCACCAATAAATAACAGTCTTTTTTTAGTATTTGTTAAAAATGGATTTAATTAACTGCTGGCAAATGCTCTTTATACGTTCCTCATATTAATGCTTCAATATTGCTTTTTCACAATTGTTAGCCTTTACACTTCTTTCTGTGTGTTTGAGAGCAACAGAGTTTTTTTATTTATTTTATTTATTTATTTATTTATTTATTTATTTATTTATTTATTTATTTATTTATTTATTTATTTATTTATTTATTTATTTATTTTTTATTTTTTTTACATGTATGCAAATTAGGGGTGTAACGGTACACGTATCAAATGTATTTTTTGGTCATAGGGTCATTATAACGGAGGTGCAACCCACCAGTGACACCTACAGGTGTAAACACATCAGCATACCTAATAAACTCATTTTTATTTATTTTAATTTTTTCTTAAAACTGTTCAGAACACATCAGTGATGAGAACCAGAATGAAAGATCCAGACACACCCTTGGATAATCACTGATGAATGCTTTGCTTTTTTTTTTTAGAGAAAAAAATAAAAATAAAAACCGAGAAATGCTGCAAGATGCTCTACGAATGCAAATGTGTGAAAAGAAGAAAATCTGTAAAGTAGTTGGGTAACACTTTACATTGCAGTTTATATTATATATTCATATTACTTACTGTATAAGGCAGTTCCACATCAGTACCTATATAATTACACTGCAACATTAATTTAAAGCGTAAATGGCTGTTGAATATCTATATCAAAATGCCTGAATGGTTAATATGTTCTGCAGACTGTTTAAATATTCAGCTTAAGTTTCATCATGGTGCGCAGAAAGGATCAAGTCTTGTCAGTGTGCAATGGATAGTGATAAATCTACAAAGTGACCTTGATAAATCTCACCTTTATTGCTAATTTTTTTTATACTGTAATTCATTTTCTATACACCGACTCTTAATGAGTGGGATTTGAACTACATGGTACTAATTAATTAGATAACAATTAGACGTCATGTAAAACTGTAAGATAATGTGATCAGTTACATTTATTCAGAAGGAATGAGACGCAGCTCATGCGAGTACCATGAAGTGACAAGTTCATATGTCTTTAAATCCCACAGAAATGTAATGAATGAATATCGTATTTTTTTTCTGTTCCTTATCGAACTTGACCTCACCTTAATTTCACATAACTTCATAAACTATCATGGTATCAAACCATGTAGTAGAGGAAAGTAATTTTAAATAAAATTAACCTAAAGATTAAATGAAATTAAATAGCATGAGGAGATTTTGCTTTCACTTCGACTAAAGAAAAAAGGCTAAATCTCGAGAAAAAAAAAGCTGTAAAACTAAACACAAACTTACCTAAAAAGAGCAGAAAGCCGTAGATATAGATATACATGTTTCTGTTTCTGATAGAGAGTCCGCGTGCGTTAAAGTGTGCTGTTCGTGCTGTCATATGTTCCCTCCAAATGACTGTATTCTGCTTAGTCCTCCTAAAATACCGATGCTGCTCTAAACGCTCTGTGACCTTAAAAATCCCAAATTGTATCCAGCGTTTGTCGGACCATGATTCTTTTTCCCGTCTAAATAATCCAAAACCTCATATAAAGAGGGAAAAGTTCTCTATTCCCTTCAGCAGGGTAACTAAACCCCAGGTTTCCGTAGGAACCGTTTACTCGTGGCGGTTTCGTGTGGACAGGCGCATATTTCCCAATGCTGATGTTCTACTATCGCAAAGGACGCAAAATTGAAACGTCTGGCTTACTAAAGCAACGCTCCTCTATAGGATATTCCCGCTCCCGTTTATCTCCGAAATGACATTCCCAAGCAAAGGCAGTGAGAAACTTCAGGTCGGACCATGATTCTTTTTCCCGTCTAAATAATCCAAAGCCTCATATAAAGAGGGAAAAGTTCTCTATTCCCTTCAGCAGGGTAACTAAACCCCAGGTTTCCGTAGTAACCGTTTACTCGTGGCGGTTTCGTGTGGACAGACGCATATTTCCCAATGCTGATGTTCTACTATCGCAAAGGACGCAAAATTGAAACGTCTGGCTTACTAAAGCAACGCTCCTCTATAGGATATTCCCGCTCCCGTTTATCTCCGAAATGACATTCCCAAGCAAAGGCAGTGAGAAACTTCAGATGGCGGAGCTCTGCGGACAGACTTCTGGCTCTGGCGGAGGCAGTGCGCTCCCAAGAAGCGAGGCATAAGCGAGCGCACGTGCCCCGGTTACGCGCTCCAACCCACATGTTAAATGATCCGGCGACTGGTGAGTTAATCAAAGCGTGAACAAACAGGGGGTCAAGCTGACTCAACACACTATGGCTAATTAATAAGTTTTAGGGCAAAGGATAAATGCAACTTTTGACAAGAGGTCAGTTATTGCTCTTGCAACTATACAAATGGATGAATACCCATCTAGCTTTATGGTCTCTCTGCCTGGCTAGGCTGATCTGTGGCTGGTTTTAAAGGGGTTTGGGGCATTTTTCAACTCCTCAAGCTGGATTAAGATGTACCATTAAGCTAAGTTATTTAGGAATATTTACTTATGTCACAGGTCTCTGGAGAGATGCCATATCATCATCACCACCCAAGTTAATTCACGTAATCATCTGATATAATTAGCTGCACAGTTTGTGAAAACATCATAATTAGGCTGTTTGCAAGTCTGATGTAAATATTGCAAGGAGACATGAACCTGACGTCATGTAAAATGTGCCTGCATTTCTAGAAACAGGTGGCTGAAATAATGGTGTTTATTGGATCTGGCAATTTGCTGGAGTAATGCTAATATGGATTTCACAGGACAATGAACCCTGGCCAAAGACAAGAGCATAGTTTGTTATTCTTTGGATGACACTGCAGTGTTTGGTTGTACTAAGAAGTCTTGCTGGTTAACATGGCCCTGTTAGGCCCTGTTGGTAGATGCTCTACTACTGCATACACTCTTAATAAATAAAGGTTCTTTATTGGAATCTGTGGTTCCATGAAGAACTTTTAACATCCATTAAACTTTTTCGTTGCACAAAAGTGCTTTATAGTGAGAAAAAAATGTTCTTCAAACTAAGAAAAATTGGTTCTTTTAAGAACTGCTCACTAATAAAAGATTATCCGGGGAACCAAAAATGGTTCTTCGTCCTTTCAAATCCCCCTTTTTGGAAACTTTATAAATAAAGACATAAAACTAATACATAATTACACATACAACTAATACATAAAGACATTTAACTCTTTCTTTCTTTCTTTTATTTCTTTGTTTATATTTCTTTATTTTTTTGGAGGGCTCTTTAATAATCTAAAATTGACTTTTATTTGGAAAATTCTTGGTGCCATCAACCAATCACAACTGCCATGCCAGCACTATCCTGTATCTCTAGATGAATTCGTCAAGCATCACTTAAGGTTCAGGTGATGGGCCAAAAAAAATAATAATTCTGGCAGAAATGAGCACCTAGAAGAAAAGATGCCATATTTCAAACTGCATACAGTATGTCTGGAGGGTAATGGGCCATTGAGATAAATGGGAGTGTTAATGGATGGCTTTCAATACTGACCTCCTTGAGTTCTAAGTCACTTATAGGGTTATAAGAGCTTTTAAAATTTCTACTGATTCTTTCTATGACATTTAAGGCTGGTAAACAAAGATGAAACAGGTGAGAGTAGAGGAGAAAAGTGAGTTAGTTTTAGTCTAAAATTCCAAATAAGTGACACCATTATCCAATTTCATTGGATCAAATGGCCAACAATACAGTGCAAAACTTTATACATTTATTATACCGTATGTATAATCCGTATGAACAATAGTAATGAAACCCATGCTTAAGATAATGTAAAGTTCACCCAATTGGCCCAACGACGGAATTCAATGGCGTGGGCGAAGGTATAATGCGTGTGTATAATGCGAGTGTAACTTTTTGTATGAGTGTAAACTTGCTTAGTCAGTGATAGACAGAAATCAGAAGGTCCCACATGATGGGGGTTTTCTGGTTACAGAATCCCAAATTAATGTCTTGCCACTTTCCTTTTATATCCAGACCAGAGCAACGAAATCTTCAAATCAGTTGTAAAAATATAAAAGACCTTTTTATTTTGTCAGGATCCCAAGGGTCACACCTGGCCAGAGAAGGGAAATCATTCTCACTCGTAACATAAATTACTGATGTGAAATTGAGACCATTTTACCAGTGGTGGGCCATCAGGGCCAGCAAGGCCTTCTCTGCTGGCCTAAACACTGACTTTTAACATCAGAATCACTGACTTTTAATATATACTGACTGTTTTAATATATGTTTTCCATGAATGTGTATTATTCCCAATAGTCTATTCCCTTCATTTAATAGCTTTTCTCTTGGTTGCGCTGCTTCCAGTAGTGTATGTTTATATTAGAGCTTTTATCCAATCATATTTCAGCAATCATGTGTTGCCAGGGTCAAAGAAATCTGCCTTGATTTCTGTGCAGGCACCTGAAGCTTAAAATAAATGGCAATTAACCCATTGCTTTAATCAATCAGATTTAGAGTTTGCAACACCGGGGCCATCCAGCAGGCATACAATAACGGCTGCATTTTCACGTAATTTGATTTGATAGTCAGAGAGCGTACTAGTAGTCAGAACTAGCAAACAGCACACTGTAAATCATTTTTGTTGTTTTCACAGTATTATTACTATATTCTCAGGTTTCTTACTGTATACACTGTGTACAGTATGTTATTGTCGATTTTCAATGCATTCTGGGAAAATATTAGCCTACTGTAAATCTAAATACAGTAGTACTAAATGACCACAAAAAACAACCACACACCTCCTCGGCAATGGCTCAGTGACAGACTCATCATGAAGATGAAAGCTCAGTAGAGTATGGTAGGTTAAAGGGTTAGTTCTCCCAAAAATTTAAATTAGCCCGTGTTTTACTCACCCTCGAAGCATAGGTGTATGTGACTTTCTTCTTTCAGACGAATCCAATCGGAGTTATAGTAAAAATTGTCCTGGCCCCTCCAAGCCTTACAATGGGGGTAAGCGGGTGTTCGGTTGTCAACAGTTCAGAAGACGTGAAATAAAGTGCACGCATCCATAATAAAACGTCCCTCACACGGCTCCGGAGGGTGAATAAAGGCCACCTGTAGCAAATCCATGCGTTTTTGTAAGATAAATATCCATATTTCAAGTGTCACTGGCAACTTTTATCCTGTGCTATCAAAATGTCGATGTTGTGACATTTTCCCCTTCAGAGGATTCCTCTTAAACTTTCACAAATCTTCAGATACTATTACAAGCTTGAATGAGACAAAACACTGAAGTGTGTTTAGCGTCATCATATTTTATATTGTGCTAATACTAATACATTTAACTTTTTTTTTTTTTCTTAAAATGTTTCCCTCCACAACGTCAAACCTGCTGTAACACTTCTTGAGATATCATTAAATAAATATGTGCGTCTATTCCTCATATAAAGCTTGGAATAGAAAGAAACTTAAAATACAGTGCACATATAGAAGTTTTAGGATACTTTTGATGTGTTTTTGTAATTTTTTTTTAGAGCTATAGTTCGAACATTCAACTCTAAAGTAATTGGATAAGTTTGAAATGGGAACTACAGTGATGTTTTAGTGGTGCTGTTTCTTTATGAAAGTGTGTCGCTCAGATTAACCTCATATGCAGTGTGCTGTTAAAGTTATCTCTCATTGCCTGTTCAATTGCACCCATCACAGAGGAGAGAAGTTCACAAGAACAAACATTGGCTGGATGATTATATAATAATGCTAAAATGCTCTCCTAATGTACTAAAATTTCATAAAATGGAATTTCCCAGTGTTGTGGCAGGAAGGGCTACTCATCAAAGGCTGTATAGATCACTTGGCATAATAGTCTCACTGTATGTCACTGGCTGAACACATTCCAGACCGCTCATTAATCACAGAGCAGCTCTATTGAAAGACAAGACAACGGACTGGAGAAAAATGACCCGACTATAAATTGATAATGAAGACGTGTACATGTTGCTGTCAAGCCCCTTTTTCTAATTCTCAAGTTGTCTTCCGAATTCAGTCGCAAAAGTGCCATGGGTTCAGTCTGACTGATGGGCCGGCTGTCACTCAGGGATTTTGTTCTTTTCACAGATTATAGTGACGAGAAGCTAAAGCTTGCATGGCTGGTTCTGGGTTTGGACCTGCTGCATCGTCGTTCAACCGTTGTTGTTTTTTTTATGTTAATTAATGTCTCTTTTTAATCCGTCTGGTGTCTAATCTGTCAGGCTAGCAGTGTTCTTGGTTAGGCCAGTGTCCTTCATTTCAGCATGGTAAGAATCCCACCGATTTGGTGCCATTAAGCCTCTTTTGGATCTAGTGAGCCACCAAGCCAAATTTAGACAACACCAGCAGACTCACAAGAGGATTACACACCGCCAAGAGGGAAAGTAGATGTTCTTTGATGTTGTAGAAAACACCTTCTGGCTGTATTGCAGTATTTGTGGGGAATCAGTTTTATTATATTTCTATGGTGTGTTTTTGGGTGCGAATGGACTTTCAGCTTAATGGCAAAGCTTGTTTACAGGCAGGCACGCTCAGTGAGAATTTCCCAAAATGTAGTCGGTGCACTGGGAATACTCTGTTGTATATTAATGTTGGAACAGCTGCTAGCAGGCCAGAAACATTAGGGAGGCTAGCGGCATCGCAGTCAGTGGGTTAGTTTAATCTGCAGATAAGTAGGAATGTTT